TTTTTCAGGGGCAGGGAGTGGGGGAAACTTAACAGTTCTATTGAGAGTTGCTCCCATTGCTGAGTACATTTTCTAAACAGTGTATAAAATAGGCCTCATGCACCTTTTTTCAGAACATTATTAACAAGGAAGAAAAACCTCAACTGTCTAATCTGTACCAATCATGAGATTCTATATAATTCACAGGATTGGAAAGAATTTCACCCAAGATAGGAACTCTGCCTCTATATGTGTACACTTTTCTTTAGTCTGCAAGAATCTCCTGGATTGATTCTAGTGTGACACTTTTTGGTCCCAACTATATATATCCATACAGGCTAAATGGATACTAATTGCCTTAAATGTAATTTTTTTTTAATGTTGGTTTTATTTTTTTCAGCAAGTACTTATTTCTGGAACAACAGTGTAAGGTGTTTGGAACTATGCTTTAGTGTGCAAATACTCCTTTTAATTCTGATCCTTTGGAATGCATTTGATGCACAAGATTATTCAGGCTAAAAAGTACATATAATTTCAAGAACTAGAGGAGTCTTGCAGTTCCTTTTTCCCTAACCTCTCATTTTGTAGATGAAAAAAAACCCCACAGCCCAGATAAGTTAGGTGCTTCATCAGGGGAGGAGGGACGCACAGCTGCAAGCCCTAATTTACAGTTTCTGCACAGACTGCATCCATGTGACTCTTTCTGATGAGTCTCTAACTGTGTGATGTTAACTACGCTGATTTCATGACAATGCGTGGGCCACAAGGTTACAGACTGTCATCGCCACCACCATGTCCAGCCAGATGAGCTGCGCTAAGCAAGAAGCCTTCATCTGTGGCAGGCCCCACAGGCCTGGACAAAGTCCCCGTCCTGGAAAAGTCCCGAGTGACAGGTGGTTCCACCAGCCATGCCGTTCTAGCCAGTTCCCTCAAAGCATCAGGCAGTCAGTTTGTGAATAGCTGAGCATTTGCTGTTATTAAAGGTTCATTTTATTATTCTCTGTGCAGCAAACCTTGGGGTTACACTCACCCAAGGCAAAAAAAAGGCCACCCTCAAGTTAGGATGTGTAAGTGCTTGTAGGCCTACAGCTGATCTGTTTGGGGCTCTTAGAGGTAATACACAAAGATTTATCTAACTTTCTGATAATTGTCACAGATGAAAGTTTAGACTCATAGCCTGGAGGAGGATGAAAAACTCATTAAAGGAGCAAATTACATGGAGATTCTTGACACATGGATGTCCTAGCCCCCCGGGGAACTGTAAGCATCCTGGGCCCTGGCATTACTACCATAATGGAGTAGAAGGCGCCGAGACCACAGCTTCCTGTTGCTCCAGATGGCCATCAAAAGTCCCCAGCTTCTCCAACTTGTGAAGAGACAACGACATTCAAAGGTGGGGTGGACTGGCCACTGATGGGGAACACCATTCTGACTTCTGTGCATAACTTGCCCTGCAGCAAACATAAATGAGCTGTGGATTTCCTGTGGAGCACAGCCTTCAACAGGTCTGTCTGGCAAAATGCTCTGCGGTCATTGCTGAGGCCCCAGAGAGGACTGGAAGGTGCTTAGGCAAGAAGAGTTGGCCAGACAGAAAAACCTCCAAGAAGGACTGGGTTCAGTCCATGGGTAATTAAGGCAGAATATGGGACTCATTGATCCCAGGCTGAAATAACCTTTTCTTGCTAAGGAACTATTTTTTTAAACTTCAGTGTTTGCCATGTGAGAGGCCCATAAGGGTTATGCTTCTGGCATCCACAATGTGCAGAAACTCCGCAGCTCTAAAAGTCTCTAAGCAAATGGGCTGGACGGCTGCTGCAGCCGCAGCCTGCGAGGTAATTTATGTGGCTCAGGGACTGTAGTTTTGTAATAGATTGAACTGTTAGTTTTCAGGAGGATTTAATGAAATATTGAACCAGATGCCACTGGTCTGCCATGGATGTGGGACTATGAGAAATGAGGAAATGGTGCTTGGTAAACAGCCCAGACCTCTGTAAGGGGGGCGCAAGCGGGGGCCTTAGTAAAAGAGAATCAAGAGCTGGAACACAGTAGGCTGCTGTCCATGGCTTTGCTTCCTGTGCCCCTTTGAAATGGGAGACCTGGGTTAGCCCAGGCTTCTCTGATTACCCAGGAAAATGGACTAAATCTGGAGGTAGGACAGAGGGACAAAGTTTATCTGGGCTGCTATTATTGACCACGTCTTCTGAATGTCCCTGTGATTCCACCAGATGCGCTCTTGCTGTATTCCCATTTCCAACCGTAGCGCAGGAAGAATGGCATCAGGATTGATCTGGGATTCTCCTAGGATTCTGACATTCCTAACTTATCTTTGTGACAGAATAAGTTAGATCAAGTAATGCTTAGAAGAGAACTCTTGAGCAATTAATTAATTTCCATGAGATACACTGCAGCTTGTCAGATGGGAAGCCTCCAGTTAATAAGGGAGATTGTTATGTGGAATTGTACACTGTGGCAGCAAACAAAGTCTGAAACCTTTTAAATGCATTTTCGGGTGCATCTGATCTTGCCCTCTGCCACTCTCTTTTGAGTACTAAGGACTTAACATCTCCCTGGTATCATCCACATCATTCCATTGCCTTAAAGGAGAAACGTGAACTTACAAACAAAGGATCAATCAATACTTATTTCAGATGATTACCCTCATAGGATGGATGAGAGGTGACAAGTGATACAAATAAACCCGACTTTCCCTGTGTGTGACCTTTTCTGCCTTATTGTCTGACCTGCTCTCTGGACTCAGGCATAGATTGCCCCAGCTTTGTTTTGTGGTCTTGCTGTTATTCATAGCCCATCGGTTGCCAGGTCTTCAGTGCATGGGAAATTCATGTGTGTTCAGACAGAAACGCGCCATCCCGAGACCCTCTGCCTCAGACCACTCTGGGATGCTCTGGGAGAGACCATCTTAGTCGTATCTACAGGCACAGTGGGAGTCTGGGGTCAGGACCTGGAGTCCCCCATGATGGTGGTCCTTACTGTGTTCAAGAAGCACTGCCTGGAGGGTTGGGTGGGCAGCAGCATTCCTGCAGATAAGAGAGACCCGCCTCTGAGAAAGGGTCAGAACCACGGGTGCTGACTTGCACACAGAAACCCTTCTGCCCACCTTCGGGAGAGCCAGCTGAAGCGGAAGGAAGAATTTCAAGGGAATGCAGTTCTGTGGCCCTGGTTCTATGGGTGCCATGAGACCATCCCCCAGTGAACACCATTTGGTATGGCCTTGGAGTGAGGCAGATGAACTGGCTCACTTGGCGCTGTTATTAATTGTACCAGTGTGTGTGTGTGTGTGTGTGTGCATGCATTCACTCATGTACACCTGCGAGGCCACCTTGTCTTAATTTGTGGTACATTTACAACTTCCTCCTGCTTAACAAAGGACCATGTTCGGGTCAGGGATTAGGAGTGGGAGAGAGAAGCATTAGCACATGTAATGAATATGTGAGGTGCCTACATCATCGAGCCACTAAGCTGTGTGCTACAGGGACAACAAATGTCAGAATACCCAAAGGTCCTGTGGTGTAGTAGGAAACATGCCACATCCATACTGAGAGTGTTAGGGTGCAAAGGATGAGCAGTGTGGTATGCAGGGTAAAGACCGCCAGCTCAGAGAGGGAACTTGGTTTTGGATGAAAGAATCAGGAAAGTGTCACGGAAGAGATGGCAATTAGGTTGAAATGTTCACATATGAAAAATGCACGAGTGATGATGATATATGGGCTGTTGGAGTATTGTGGGAATAATTATTTTCATTACTATGGCATGACACCTGAGATGAACAGACCCCTCCTCCAGTTTTCTCACTTCCTGTTAGTGCATGTGCCTAGAAACAGGCAAAGTCAGAAAAGCACTGCTTTTAGACAAAAGATACTAGTCTACTTACAAAACAGACAAGATTAGGTATGATTTTATAAGTAACCCTAAAAGACCAGAAGAAGGATAGATGGGTTTGGGGTTTCACAGCCTAAGAATTATAGTCAATTTGATAAAAGAAATTCGCAGCCCAGTAGTATTAGCACAGTGTATCAGCAAGGGGAGGGGTAGCCCTCTAGGCAGAGGGAGGCAGGGCGGATGGAGAACATGCAATTTGCTATCTCTTATTAAAATAAAAAATGACTTGCTACCTGAGTGAAAATGAACGTACTTTCTTATTAAAAATGTCTTCGCCTTATGATTGCCTGCTACTGTTTGAGTCATAGCTTCTACTGCTGCTTTCATTCAAAAGAAGCCATTAAATTCACATCCTTCCTGAATGTGCCCAGTATGTGAAAGCTTTAATTAAATCTACAAGTACAGCCTTAAAAGAACAAGAATTAAATTAATTGCAACATGGACCATGCATTTGTTTCTCTGACAGTCTCCGTGCTTTGGAGAAAAGGCAGTGCGTGCACCCTTATCTGAATTAGCAAACTCAATATCACTTTCCATTAGCAAGGCCGCTAGGAACCATGCGTCTTTGAGGTGACACTGTTTACATGCTAATGCCCTCACAGATAGAGTCTGTTCTGACTGGTTTACCCCAGGACCCAGAGCAGTCAATCCAGCAAGTGGAATCCACCATCTCCTGTTTTCTGCCTCACTGGCTTTTGTGAATTCTCTAGATGGAGCTTCATAATTAGACTGCAGAGTAATTAAGGAAAATTCAGCACATGCAAATAGAGCAAAAAGATTTGCTGCTAATTATGGTCGTTATACCACAGTCAAGAAAAATTAATTTGTAATATTGCTCATTTTTTCACTGACCTGTACTATCCAAAGTAAGGAAGCAGTGTTTGTGCATTCAAAATGACCTCTGTAACTGGAGCTAATAAATACTCTTCTGCAGCTGGACAGATTGAGATAAAAGCTGTGCATTGGAAGTTTTAGCAAAAAGGAAACAAGGAGGCTTCAATTCCTACAGAAGCTTTAGTGTGTAATTATTTTGTATTTTTTTGTTTGTTTCCAGGATGTGCACTTTTTAAATATGCCAGTGCTATTGTGTAATCACACTGGCAGTCTCTAAATACCCACTTCCCAACATTAAGCATTCACACTGGAACTTTAATTAGGCACTATATAATTTTCTTGTTTTAAGGTCTTCGCCTCTGAGCACTTTAGGCCAAATGCTCAGTGACAGTGAACTGTAACTGGTACTAATACTCTGCTTACAGAAAGAAGTAGCCTTCAAGGTGGCCTGGCTCAGCCTGCTGAGTCCAATGGGCATCTCAAAGGTAGTTTTATTGGATGCACAGAGTTTAGAATTAGAATTGCTGGGGTCTCTATTTTGCAGCATTGCCTGCTTTGGCGTAAAGACAGTCTCACAGGCAGAGTGTAGTTTTCTCTCTGAAAACGGAAAGGAGATGAATGGATGCACCATCTGTCCCTTGCTGCTCCACATTTTCTTGCCTGCTTCCCATTCCGGAGACTCTGAAGATGAAGGACAGGCATGCTGTGTTCAGTATGTGACCATGCAGGGGGGAATGCCATTTTAAGTGTTAAAGGCTTTGCATGTTAATTAAGAGAAGCAATACTCACAGAGTATTAAAAATTAAAGATTTAGTCCATCCAGGGTCAAATTGAGAAGTTTAAAAATTTATGAGCTTATATTGTTAAGAGTTTCCTGAGGGAAATTCATCTATATTTTGAGCCGCTAATGAATTGCGTATTGTATGACAGTATAATAAAGACAGAGAAAGAGCGTACAGTTAGACATAATCTAGAAGTTCACTTTGGGAACAAACAAGGGAGCCTGTGTCTCTATCTATTGCAATCCCTAAAAATAGGTCAAATAAGCATCTATCTTCCGTGAGTGCCTCAAGGCTGGGAGTTGGATCTACTACTTCTGAAGTCCCTTTCTAATTCCCATAATTATTCATGCAGTGTCAACACAGCAATGTGATTTTATTCCTGTGAGAAAGTAGATTTCCCTAGGATTCAGTTCTCCCATTATAGAGAACATTGTCCTCAGTCCTTCACTTACCCCCCAAGAGCCATCCTTGTTAATAAGAGGAAGAAAAGTGCCCATCATCAGCAACAGGATGGTATTTGTGATGCCTTCTGAATGTCCAAATGACTGCCGACCTAGGAAGAGGGACATCAAGGTTGCACGAAGATTGCTGCAGAATACCCACTGGTTACTCATGAAGGGTTTTGCTCTGATTAGCAAAGCACCAACACAGGGAGAAAAGACCAAGGTCAGTCCCCTTCCGGAAGGAAGTCAGCTTCACTCATAAATGCAAGCTTCTGTTCTCTGCCAGCCCTCTCCACTCACACAGACTTGATGATCATGTCCACTTTATCTTCAAAGCCCTGCTCACAGTTTTAGCTCTATTATTTGTGGGTCAAATTAAATAGAAATGCATTTTAAATAGAAAATGTTTCTTTTCCATTTTTTTTTTACCCTCTGTCTTGCTCAGCTTTCTGTCATTGTGATGAAATACCTGAGATAATCAGCTTCATAAGGGAAGAGATTTATTTTGGCTTCCAGATTCAGAGGTTCTTGTGCATGGTCACTTGGCCTTGTTGCCTTGGGCCTGTGATGGCATAGTCCATCATGGCAGGAGTCCAGGGCAGAGGAGGCCTGGCCACATCATGGTGGCCAGTAAACAAGAGACAGGAAGAGCAGAGGTCTAGGCCACACCCCCAGTGACCTCACTTCCTCCCACCATGCTCTGCCTCCTGAAGATTCTTTCACATCCCAATAGCACCATGGGCTGTGGACCAACCCTTAACACATGGACCTTCAGGACCATTCCAGATTCAAACTATGGCACCCTTCCTTTTTTGTTTTTTTTTTATTTTGTTTTGTTCGGTACCAGGGATTGAACTCAGGTCCTTGTGCTTGCACAGCAGGCGGCAAAACCACTGAGCTAAATCCCCGGCCAAAGATGTAACCCACCGTTCCTTTTTTTACCTGCCCTTGTTTTTATATATACTTATTTTCCAATTCTTTACTTCTTTTTATATTTTTTCTATCATTCTCACTTTTTTCTGACTGAGGGAATGTGTTTTCTTGTTATTCATGCAAATGCTGATGCCTTTGAAACAGGCTAAATGATTTAAATTTTCTCCTTTTTAAAAAATATGAGAAGCAGTTCTTAAACTCTCAGTGTGTGCTTTCTCAGCCCATCATCCAACTGATCACATGAGGAGCTTCTTTAGCTCTACAAAGTCTTCTATGCCTCTTTGTTTATTCACTCGACTCATTTTTGAAAACCTGCTGACAAAATAATAACTTTAAACCAATTAAATTTAGAAGCATTTAAAACAATGATTCACAAATCCTGCTGCCCAGGGGTTCAGCAAGCTTTGCTCTACAATGTAGTATGGACAAAAACCAAAGGTGGTGCAGAAACAGCTCAATGGGAAGAGTTGGGTGGTGTGATCTGTTGACTGCTGCAATCGCCGAGATTCAGGTTTTTGTTACAAAGTACATTCCAAAATTAGGCTTACAGCTATTTTGCATACTAAGTATCTTAGTCTCTTTTGTGCTGCTGTACCAAAGTACCAAGACTAAATAATTTGCAAAGAACAGATTTATTTCTTACAGTTCTGGAGACTGGGAATTCCACTTCTGGTGAGGGCCCTGATGTTGTTTTATCCCATGAGACAGGAGGTGGGAGTCCTCATTCTTTTATCAGGAACCTCCTCCTATAGTACCTGACCCCCTCCTGGGCTCATGACATCAGTCTCTTCTTCATTATCTTTGAAAGGTCCGAGCTCTCAGCACTGTGGCCTTGGAGCTTAAGTTTCTGTCATGTGAGCTTTGGGGATGCACTCAGGGCATAGCGGTTGGGTTGGAATTGTTACACAAGGACTCACTCGAAGTCCAAGGTGGTTTAACACTACATGTCAGATGCCCTTCAGACATTGCATATAGAGCAATGAACAGAATAAACAAGTCTTTGCCTTTCTGGAGATCTTAAAGTTGTATCCAAAATTATATTCAGTGAGCAGTCACCAAGGAGGAAAAAGTGAGTCAGAGTGATTTAGTCTTCCCCAGATGCACCCCAGTCGTCTTTATTTTGATTAGCGTTGGTTAAATGAACGCAGTCTGCCAAGAGCAGGCTATGGGACTCCTAGCATTTCCTAGAGGCAAAGGTGACTCTGGGCTACTGTGGGGCTGGGAGGGCAAACCAGGGATTGGAGGAGACAGGTAGAGCAGCTGCAATGTACAGAGGGTCTCCTGGCCTCAACCCATGGCAGTGAAAGGCCCTGAGGCTGAGCTGGATCCCAGGAGGAGGCTCATGACTGCCAGAGAGGGGCCACCACGAGCAGCCACATCTCCACCTCTGCCACTGGGCTTCTCTGTTGCCGTGCATCTTGGAAATGTTTGTGAAAAGCACTTGCTCACAATTTCCCAGGATGCTCCTGGAATCAGACACAGCAAGGGTCTGAGAGGGAAAGATGTTCCTGGATCCGGTCATGCCTGGGTTCACTGCCTTTGCTGTTGGGCATCTTAAAATATTCAGCTTTTAATACTTCCTAAACAGGAAACACTGCAACCCAGAGGGAGCCTATTCCTTTACAGGTCTTGGTTCAATTTTCAGATGAGACTGAGTAGTGTTTGTTTGGGGGCTCTTATTTCAGTGGGTCGCTGGCTCACCTTAGGAGCTGCTTTTGATACATTCAGTTCCCGCTCGTAACTCTTTTTCCCAGTACCATCATTACATCATGAAAGAAAGCCATCTTAGAAACACATCTCATCATTCTCTGTGGAGCAGAACTGAACAGGGATGTAAATATAGTTGCTGAATATATTACAGAATCATATGTGTCTCATTTATTTTAAAATAGTCAAGACATTCCTTAGCTAGACTTTACTGCATTTTAAATATGTCTGAGTTCGAGCATGTTAGTAGACATCCCTCACTGTGACACAGTTCCTGAGATAATCACCTAAAATAGAGGAAAGCTTTGCTCTGGCTCACAGCTTCAGAGGTTTCAGTCCATGGTCAGCTGTCCTATTGCTGTGGGCCCTCGGTGAAGTGGCACATCATAGTGGGAGTCCCCATCTGAGCGAGCTGCTCACTTCATGGAGGCCAGAAAGCAAAGAGACAGTTGGGCTGGGGTCCCAGTATCCCCTTCAAGGGGCCCCCAGCCCCCTGGGGTCCACTAGGTCCCATCTCCTAAAGGTTGTACCACCTCCCAACAGCACCCTAGGCTGGCCCCCAAGCCTTCAACGTGGGCCTTTAGAGGATATTTAGCCAAACCCTAGCATAGCCTGAGCTGTTTCAAATGTGGAGTGGCCAGCTTCCCCATCACTAGGACGAAACCCCTGATATTCACAACTTAAAAGAGGAGAGGTTTATTTGGTTAACACTTCAGGAGTGTTCAGTCCAAAGTTAGCTGGCTCCAAGGCAGAAATGGCATGGCGGAAGGATATGGCAGAGGAAGGCATTTTCAACAAGCAGAAAGAAGAGAGGATCTGGGGACAAGAATAAACCCTTTCAGGCCGTACCCCCAGTAATGACCTCCACCCAGGCCTCACCACTAACAGCATATTCAGCAGTGAACTCATCGCTGGACTAATCCGTTGATGAGCATAGCACCCCATCTTCCAATCACTTTCCAAATACATGAGACTTTTGAGGGACACTTTAGATCTAAACCATAAGAAATGTACTGTTATGGTTTGTTTCTGGATGTCACCCCAAGGCCTCATGCAGTCATGGATGGGGCTTTTTTGAAAGTGGCTGAATCTGGAGTGTATGACGCTGGGATTAAGGGTGTGCAATTACTAAATTAGTCCACTGATTGGTTTGACCTAGCTCTGGGTAGGATTAAGAGTGTCCCACCCTGGGTGTGAGTGCGACCTGCCCTGGATACAATATAAAGGGAAAGAAAGAATCTGTAGACTGTATCTTGTTTTGCTCACTGCCTTCTGCCTGCCATGGACTGTTTCTCCTCTGCGATGCCCCTCTACTGTACCACCCCACCTTGGAGCCAGCCAACTATGAACTAAAACCTCTGCGAACTGTGAGCTAAAGAAACCTTTCCTGCTTCAACTTTAGGCATCAGGAATTTTCTCTGAACAATGAGAAAAGTAACTAAAACATGTACCCATCGTAGCACCCTTTTCTCTTGAACTTCCTTGTTGCTGAACTTTCTTCCAAGTCAAAATCAGCTCCAAGAATTTTTAGATGTACAGATACTTGACTATCACTCTAAACTGCCCTGAACAGAGAATGACTAGAACTCTCCTCCCCTTCCTCCTCTTCTTTTTCTTCCTCTTTCTCCCTCCCCTTCCCCTTCCCCTTCCTCTTCTTCCCCTTCTTCCTCCTCCTCCCCTGCCCAGTCTTCCTCCCCTCCAGGGCCTCAGACATGCTAAGGACACATGCTACCACTGAGCTACACCCTGAATCCTGGGAGTTTCTATTTTTAAAAACAGAAGTTATGATTTGAGAACTATCATTGTATCAAAAACTACATGCAATACCTGTGAAATCATTGTGATTAAATGATAGCCTTGTTAGCTTTCTTGTCTTTGGAAAGCTAATACATGTATTTTCAATCATAGCAGAAAAATAAGCAAAAAGTAAAATGATCTAATATCTTAGCCCACCCATGAGTGCTGCAACTGATGACCATCATTTCAGGCAGCGTCATGCAGGTACACACTTGTCTGTCTGCCTGCCTGCCTGCCTGCCTGCCTGTTTCTCTGTCTCTCTGTCTGCCTGTCTGCTTGCACTGATCAGTAAAGGGGGAGGACACCTTGTGTGCTGTGCTGTAGCTTATTTTCTTCAGGAGGTGTGTCCTGGACATCGTGTCACACCAAAGGATCACCTTTGACACCAGACTCAGCTTTATCAGGAAATTTGAATTTGTCATCACACAGCCCTTAACACTGAGATAAATGTACATGTCTTTCAAAAAGCTCATTTTATCAGATTTTAAATTATAGCTGCTAAATGGTTTTAAATATTGAAAGTGTTCTCAAATCAGTAGCTTTTCTTCTTGATAAAAATGTTTAAAGTTCTACAAGTCCTTTAAATGTGGCTAAACAGCAACATGGCTCAAATCCTCATTGTCACTGTTTTCCTAAAGATTTGATTTTGTGATAGTCTTATCAGACCCACCATTGTTGCTCCTCATCCATCTGAGAGATAAAGAGGAGGGAAGGGAGAGAGATAGTTGTGGGACAGAAAGGAAGAGTGGCTAAGCGCCCTGGGTTCATCTGAAGATCACTGCTTCCTTTTGCTTGCATAAAGCTTTCCTTGGTTGCCTTTTCCTCCTTCCTTTGCCCCCCGCTGTCCTCCTCCTCCTGAGGAGCCTCAGCAGTGTCTCCTCCCTCTATTCAGCAGGAGCATGGGTGGCCCAAGCGCTGGGCTAAGCAGAGGAGGAATAAGATAGATGAACTCACCACTCACGGAACTCTCAGGGTTGCAGTTAGAAAACAAAGGGAGAACAAAGTGTGTCCAGTCTTGCTTGCATCCTCGTCCTCAGGGTGATCTGTTCTAGGTCCCAGTGGAGCTGCTGGCCACCTGCCAACTGTCCCCAGCTTGGCAGAGCTAAAGAAGACAGCACCTGCCAGCGTCTAGCCCACAAGCAGGAGATCCCTTTGGGTTACAGTTCAGTCTCTGCCTGACTTAGGTCTCTGAAGAATGGTCAAACCCCAGCCCTCTCTCCCTGTCTGTATGCCTGTCTTCCAAGATGCTATAGATCAGGATGACCAGAGAGCCACTTGGAAGCAGAATTTGACTGTATCTGCTTCCTCACCCCCCAGCATGTCCATGCTGTATATGCTACCCACTTGTTAATCTGCTGGTCATCAGCAGATTGGAAAGACATGACCAAGTCCGTGCCCTGTTTATCACATGACATAATTGGAGCTGCATTTTCCAAGTGCTCTCCCTTGACAGGGTGGAAAGCAGATTGGAATGGGGCCCATGGGGCTTTGGAGAGACCTAAA